ATGAGCCTGGGCCTCTTCCTGGAGAGCAATGCAAAGCCAAAAGTAAAGTGTGCTCCTGATCTACCACCCCATAGCACTGAAAGCACTCTCTGGGTGGTTTACAATGTAATTATGCAGGCTATACATTGCCCTCCCCACCAGCAAGCGGGGAACTCAATTGACCGACCTCAGAAGGCTGAGTGAACCTCAGTCTGGCTACCTGGGATGGAACCCTGATCTTGAGCAGAGTTTTGGCTGCAGGACCGCTGTTCAACCACTGCGCCATGAGGCAGGTGTGCCACACCACATGGCTCATCCTATAAACCTAAACTGGCCTAGCACACTCCAGGGTGGTGTCTGTGTATGGGATGATGTCCCACTGTGACCGCTGAAGGTTCAGCTCCAATTCAGTCCGGTTCTCTGTGCTCATGTAACGGAAAAGAGTGCCATTGTGTCCTTTTTCTCAGATAGCCAGACAGCTTGGGGACCACCCTTGCGGGAGCAAGATAAAGCACTGCAAAGGTAACCAAAGCAGCTTCTGTACATTTCCCTTTCATCCCAAAGTTCCTTTGTTGGGGCTCAGCTTTGTTTCACCTTCCTAGCAAAAGATAAAAAAAGACAAACACATATAAAATAAAACAAACACCGAGGGCCATTATTTTTCCTTACAAATAAATATTTGGTAGTACCTTAGTTTTTCACGGGCCCTCCAGGGACCACGAAAGGCTGCCTGAAGCATCAAATTTGCCTCAGATATAAAAAGAGATGCATTCACTGCTAACTGTTGAAGGTCTTTTTCCTTCTCAAAATAGTAAGCGCACGGTTTCCTAATCAGGGCTGCTTGCAACCTACGCCGTAGTTTGTATGAACAACCATGAAACCAAAGGACCAAAACAGGAATGTGTGCAGACTACAAAATACGCAAGTAACATTTTTAAAAGATCATCTCTGAGCAGCTAAAGAATGAAGTGGATTCCCTGCAGATAGAACCACAGGAAAAAGCATTTAGCTCGGTATAACAGATTTTACATAATGCTATTAAGCCTGTCAACTTACTGGCAAGTCTGAAGCCAAAGACTTCAAAACAGAAAAAATAACTGTTGACTTTCTGTACCACTAAAGTAGCCCTATAGTAAGCATCACTGTACTTATTACTAGAAATGTGTTTCACATTTACAGAATGTGTCATCTTTAATTCCAGGCAGATTAATTTAGAATTTCACTAAGTGCATACTAATATGTGAAATGTAGCAGCAGTGTCAAGACAAAATCAAATGAAACAGTGAAAAAGGAGGGTTGCAGAAAAGAGTCAAGTCTTCTTTGTCTATGCCTTGAGTTGCTTCTCTCACATAATGATTTGGCAGCATGCATCTCAAATATTGTAAAGGAAAACTTGAAGTGAAATGCAAAGCCTTGAGTTCGCAAATATGGGTTATTAGATACTAAAACTAAGGGCTGACAGAACCTTATTTAAGCTTAAGTACATTTTGTCCTGATTTAGATGGCACAAGAAACTGCAGTATACAGTATATGGAACTGAAACAACAACTTCTAAGCCCATTTCCACAAACATGCTGGAGAGATGGAGAAACACCCAAGGCTCTGGGCAGCTTATTCTCCTAACGGCACATCATTGTGTAAGATTACACCTGAACAAGGCCACAGTCCCATTTGAAAGTGGACTGGGCTAGCAAGCAGCATCCCAGTGAATCTTCAATAGTTGTTTCCACCACTCCCTGCGTAAGTCATGTAACAGCTCTTTGGCACATCACCAGAAAGCAAGGAAAAAGCTTTCCAACCGAAATCGCATCCAGCCATCTTCTCTTATGCTAGTGTTGCTCCTGACCTTTTAGGTTTCTTACATCCATTTAACTAGATAGAACAAAATGGCTCAAAAACTCTATTATTAGTAGTGAGTCTCAGGGTAGTGAGGACAGAAATACTTAATGTGTTCTTTTAACTACCCTATGAGACTCATGGCAAGTGGGGGGGGGGAAATCAGTTGCTATGGAAAGAGAACATGGATCTAATCTCTGCAGTCTTATATTTCTTTTCATTAATCATTGCACTGTGGTACTCTTCTTCATGAATGCAGCAGGCTCCAGAGAAGAGAGGAAAAGAGACAAACTTGCAATTTCCTGCTTTACCAAAGATTTGCTACTGGATTTCATAAATCTGATATATTCATTTTTTTAAAAAAAGTTTGTTTTTTTGCAAGCCTTTAAAGTTCTCAATACAAAAAAGAGAACTCATAGCATCATCTCTACAGTTGTCATCAGAAGGATGACAGCTGGAAAAGAAAAATTTAAAGGATCAGCATACTTCACAAAGGACCATTCATTCAATCCACACCTGCTCTGCACTGCAGAACAGACCATTTGTGATCATGTGGAACCTGCAAAAAAACAAACACACACAAAAAAAAACCAAAACAAAAAAAACTCCAAGAGAAACAAGAGGCTCTGTCACATTAAACTCACGTTAATTGAAGCAAAACACACCTTTAACAAAGGCTACTTGATGCAATGATTTAATGTTCTGCATAACACCAATATGTCACTAGCTGTGCAAGTAAATCGGGTTGGCTTCTTTCGCCTTTTACTGCAGAACGCAGTGGACACATGAGGAAAGTAACTGATGGGCGGCTGATGAATCCTTTGTTAAAGGGATCTTGGTGGGACACAGCAAGGAACATTTTATGTTGTGGAAATAGAGTTGAGAGGAATACAGGAAAATGTAGTAGGCATTTGCTCTGCACATGGGTGGACCAGATGCACTTCAAGCGCCATCCAACTCGATTACTCCACGTCTGCTCCTCCCTTGCACAGAACACCAAAGCCAGCCAAGAAGAAATTCGTCTCACTCACAAATGACAGGAATCAACTACGAGATTCCCATCTGATTCTTCTTACAGAAATCACCTCCACAAGGACCCCCTTTTTGATATATATAACAATCATCTAAGGTTTATGACTGTTAAATAATTCATGGAAAACGAACACAATTTGGCAGTTTTGCCTCTCTCAAGTGAACAGCAAAAAGTATGGTTTAAAACAGAGGTTTGGGACACCAGGACGCACCCATTTGTTAACCGAAGCAGGAAAGGAAGCTGTGAGGCAGAGATCTTAGGCAAACTGAGACTCCTGCACCACTGAAAACCCAGCTTTTACAGGGCAGGATTCCCAGCAAAGCATTCATCTACACAAAAAGAGGAGTGAATAAATTCTAGCCATGGGACTTTAATGGCTCGTTTTTTTTCTTTCTTTCCATTTTCATGTTCCTTCACCGATTCCCAGAAGAGATGAAATGATTTGTATTCATGAAATAAGGATACATTAAAGTTTCATGTTTTTTTCATGTTCTCCCCTTTTTCATTTAAGCTTTCTTTCAACCTGTGTCTGCCAAATCACCAAGGGTATTTTTTTTTTTCATCTGATAACACCGCGAAGACTCCTGCAAACAGCCAGTCAGGATACCCAGGAGGGGAACAGGTATTTCGCCAGTGGAAAAGGACCTGCATGAGTTGGAACCCAGATAGCGAAAGTGCTCTTTCTTTGCTTCCCAGTCCTTCCTTGTGAGTCAGGTTACTGTGTGATGCTGAGCTCCTTCTCGTGGATCTCATTTCCTGGATTACGCTGCCTGTCTGACTATAGGCCTCAAAGAGAAAGCCTCTGCCTCTTCGTTCGAAAGAACTGGGGTGTGGTATCCAATCCACAGCTGCCTCCGCTGTAATTTTAAAACAACAGCTCTAATGCAGCCTGCATCTTTTATGACTTACATCTAAGAAAGCCGTCTGTGGCAACATCCATCTTGCCATGAACTTTTGGACTTTTAAGTTCTTCACACTGATACATGCCTGAGGAAGTGGGCAGTCCTGATCCGTGAAAGCTTGCATATTCTATGATGATTTTTTTAATGGTGTATAAAGGCACAGCCTGTTCTTGTATTTTTATTGACTGCACGGCTCCCTTTTATTTCGCTCAAAATTCAGAACACGATAAAACTCAAATCCTATTTCTGGGCTCAAAACGACACAAGCAAGGTCAACGGATGGACAGAATAGCCTGCATGTATTTCTTCTAAACTGGCTACTTTCAAAAATGAATCTCTGCAAACCTGGGATTTTCCAGTTTAACAAAAATAAATAAAATAAAAGACTACAGATGTGTGACATAAACAAATTGTCAGGAGCACAGAAGAAGCCACTTTGTGAGAAGTCAAACTATGGGTTCCTCGAGCTCTATATTCTTCTGCGATGATTGGATGATTAAGAGTAGCTTTCAGTCTCTAAATCAATCCTTCCCCACCTTGTGGCCCCAGATGTTCTCAGACCCTGACTCTCAGGAGCCCTGATCATTGGCTGTGGTAGCCAGGGCTTTGGGGAGATGTAATCCAATGAAACCAGGACATCAAGCTTCAGAACGGCATTCAAAGGTTTCAGACAGAAGTCTTTCCAAGCCTCTCTAAAGATGTCAACCATTGATTGAATTTTGGAATCTTTTAGCCTGCACAGCATGTGCTTTACGACAGAGCTGTGGTTCTTGTCTTAAAGAACAAGGAGGGGCATCATAGGAGATCTGCACAACAGCTCTGACCCCTGGGAACTTTTCACAATGAGCAGTCCTCAAACCTGCACACAGAAATCGCAATTACTGCAGCAGAAAGGTGGCTGGGGTGTGGAATTGTTTTCTAACAACCTCTCCTCCAGCAATAACCTCATGCACCAAACTTTGCATATCCTAATATCTGAAGCATCAAAACATTTAAATATGAAATTCTTAAGTGCTTGCACCTCTTTCTAAGCAACCTGTCAGTCATTTACTCTTCTTAGAAAAGAACATTCTTTCTTTTTGGAGGGGGGGTATATGGAATCTGGAGCATTTTCACACAATTTCACCAAAGTAACCTATATACATATACATATATGAAGTGTTGCAAACTAGGCAGAGATCAGGAACTCTGAGAAACTGTGATGGCACCTCTTCACCATCTACCTTAGAGCTTGCACAAATATACCCTACCTGTATATCTGTGTCTTTCACGGGCTCTAGAGGCTCAAATGTGGTCACTGCACTCAGGCTTTCCAACCGCTGAGATATGTGGGAAATGTCAAGCCCTCGGGACCCAAGAAGAACCGAGCTACAAAAGAGATAAAGAAAGAGGGAGGATAAGACGTCAGCCGCTTCCCAAAGAGAAATAAAGCCCCTGGAGTTTTGAGACACAACTTTTTATATCACAGCAACATATTGCTACCAGCCTACATGGCAATCCTACACATGCTTACTGGGAATTCCACTAGACCAGTGGAGGCAAACCTTTTTCAGCTCGAGTGCCCAAAATGAGGGGATAGGGAAGAAACCAGTGGCTGCCATGCCACCCAGAAGACCTGAACCAGAACAGGAAGTAGCAGTTTCAGGGGAAATCATGGGGATGGACAGTTAAAGGGGGAATCATGGGGACAGACAGGAAGTTAAAGGGAGAAATCATGGGGACAGACAGGAAGGTACAGGGAAAAATCATGGGGACAGACAGGAAGTTAAAGGACTGAGAACAGGAAGAGAAAGGGGGAATCCTAGCTGCAACCACTTCAAAAGGTTTGCCGCGTGCCAGAAGAAAGGGCTTCATGTGCTAGCTGTGACACGCGTGCCATAGGTTCGCCATCACTGCACTAGATCTTCTCCCTAATAAGATTTGCTTAAGACTGCAGCCTGAGCACCCAAACATGGGACAGAAAATTTTTAAAGAAGCCCCCCCCCCAAAAAAAACTTACGCTTTGACATCTGCTGTCTCCTGTGAGGTGCGGGTGAGAGTCCGAGAGCGTAGGCGCTCTCCAGCCTGCTGTATCTCTTGGAGATTCCGTTCGACATGAGGAAGTTCGGCAATGCCTTCGGTCTCTGCTGCCAGCTGCTCTGCCTGCTGCAGGAGCTCACCAAACCCTTCGGCATCCATTGGCAAGGCCGGTTGCTAATATGGAAAACCTAAGGAAAGGAGGAGCGGAGAATGGCGTTTCAAAAAAGGAATGAAAGGTATCCTCAGACCAGCACCATCAACAGTATGTTGCCTTATCACTACCTCTTATCAACAGTTATGAACAAATCAGCCGTGAAGAGCTTCACCGGAAGAAAGAAAATATCTGCTAGTCTGCCTTTCTTTACGAACTTATTGGTTTTATTTCAGAACAGGGAAACCCAAGACTCTTGTGTTAAAATAAGAGAAATAGCTCGACTACAGCTGCTGCCTC